GCTGTGCGTGGTGCCCAGGCCCTGCCTGCGCTGCTGCCCGTGCCCACCCGGCCCCTTTGATAGCAGAGGGGGCTGTGGCTGGGCAGTGGCCACCAAAACCTTGGGGCCTGGGACATGGGAAACTGGCCACTGAATGGCTGAATGGGCTCCTGTTCCTCTGGCCAGGTGGGGGTCCCAAGGACCAAGATGGGGTGGGGGGACTACAAAGGAGGACTCTGTGTCACAGCAGGGGACGTGCCTTGGGTATGGTGACAGAAGGACACCGTGGTGGGTGTTAGGAATGTGTGTGCATGAGAATTGTCCAGAAAAATTGCATTTGTTACCTGGTGCATAACAAGGCAGTAATTACCCACCCAAGAGAAACACTGGTTATTTATTTTAGTTCCACAAGCCTGGGTCCTCAGTATTATTCCAAAGATCAAGCACACCAGGTATCAAAACATTTTGCTACTTACACATTTTAGCAAACAAAGGCATTAATGTTCATTGGCTACAAATTATTTAGTTCTCTTATTAATGATTATTCTCTCTCCTATCGGCTAAGCATTCTCTTGTGCCTGATGCTAATTAATCTTCAGGCTCAGCCTTCCTCTTCTTTTGAGTTCCTCTTCTTCTTGAATTAGTGGGCCATAAGTCATGATTTGCCCTTGACAGAATTTACCTTCTACCCATGTGGGAAATGGAGGCACAGAAAGCTCAGGCTGTGTCCACAGGCTCAGAAATAGAGAGGGATACAAATCTTGACCAAAGAACTTGGAAAAGGCTTGAAGATTTGGAACAATGAAGTTACACAGATATAAAGCAAGAATGTGGGTTTATAATTTTAGCAGAAGTATGTTTTAAGCAAGTGGCATACATACATAAGCTTTATGTAAGTGAAAATATATGTTGACCAAAATAGGGAGAAATTTATAAGTTTAGCAATAGAACTTGTTACAGAGCTAGTAGGAAGCTTAAGATGTAGTTGTGTAAGTTTGTGCATTATATGATTGGATAAGAAAGGATGCATTGTGGTAGGGCCATGTAATGCAAAACAGTCAGTGTTTGGTGTAAAAGGTTATTAGTGAGCTTTGTGGAAGTAGCTGACTGGCTAAGAAACTTATAAAAGACATTGTGACTAAAATTAAGATGGTGTTGGACGTAAGATCTTAAATGTTTCATCCTTCCATGAGACTGGTTATACAATAAACCATCTTTTACAACATCTCTCAGTCACCCCTGTCTCAATAACTCTAACATACCCAGTCAGAGCTGATTCAGCACTGAGTATTTGATGATCCAGTTGTCTTTATTAGTTTTTTTCTTATCTTGGGGGTTTTTCCAAGTGTCCTGTAAATTCTGCACTCTTTGTGTCCATTACCAGTGGTATATTGTTCATCCCAACTTTTGTAACCTCCACCCAGATCTGAGATCGTTAAAGCCCAGCAAGACCTAAACCTTAACAAGGCAATTTCACCAAGTAATATACCTTTCTAACACAAGGACACAGCTTAGAGCCTGTTTGCTGCACTCTGTTTCACAGACTAAATCTCCTTTCTTGTTATTAGGCTTGAAAGCATAAAAAGATCAAACACCAACGAACAAATCTTTTTAACGTTTTATTGATCCCATGTTTTGCAGCAACATGACAGGAGGCTGTATTTGCAGCGAAGCCTTATTGGGGAAAGCAGGTGGTGCTGCAGGAGAGGGGGCACAGCCCTGGCACTGCTGCTGCCTGGGAACCCCCCGGCACCACTCTCACTCCTGTGTGGGCAGGCGGGTGAAGACGTTGATGCCGACCCTGCGGGGACGCAGAGGAGGAGGAGGTGTAAGGGAGGGACGTGACAGTGTCCGAACACACACCCAGCCCTGCATTCCCCCACCTTGGCAGGACCCCAGGGGATGGTATTTTTCCTTTCTGTGTTTTACCCATGCACAAAGCAATCAAGGGAACCTTGCCATTGAGCTTTGTAAAGCTGTGCTTTTAAAACAGGTATTAAACCTGCTTTTGCGAACACCTGTGAGAGTGGCTCTGTAAGAAATCTAACCCTCTCACTTGTGATATCCCCAACCCTCGGTGTTGCACAGGGGACCTGTGCAGAGCAGGGACAGGGGGCTCACCTGGTGGCTTTCCAGTCACTTTTGATGCTCTCCACATGTGACCTCAGCAGCCACATGGTCTTCAACACCTCCTTTCCATCCTCATCCACGAAGCACTGGCCCGTGAAAACCGTGATGGAGTCTGTGGGGACAGGACAGGAGGTGGAGGGGAGTGTGGCCCAGGTGGCAGGTCAGTGGCTGGCCCAGCACAAGGGACAGCAGAGCCCCGCTGTCCCCGGCCTCTGGGGACAGCAGGGATGGGGACAGCAGGCAGGAGGGCTCAGAGGGCAGCGGGTGTCCCACGGAGAGGGGCAGAGAGCGCCGGCTTCAGCCCCTGCTGCCTCTGCAGCACCCTGGCACTGGGAGCTGACAGCAAGCAAGGAGCTCCAGGGACAAGGATGGGGGAGCCTCAGGGAGGGGAGAGGGAGAGCAGTGGGGATGGTGCAGGGGAAGGCAGGGAATCAGCAGGGACACTGCAGGCAGGGACAGAAAAACTTCAAGAGCAGAACAGGGAGGGCAGGGGAGGTCCAGGATACCATGAGGAGGCTTGGAAAGAAGTACCTGAAAAGCTCCAGTTGACGGTGAAGCCGAAGGTGGGCTGGCCCTTCTGGTTAGGGCTCTTCTGCAGGGTCCCCTTCAGTGGTGACAGCTTGATCTCATTCGAGGTGGCTGTCACAGCCGTGTGGTAGGAGCCAGCAAAGTCACCATTTGCATTCACCGTCATGATGGTCATGTTGGAGCCCAGGTCATTGACCCAGCGCCCGGTCAGGGAGCACTGCAGAGTAAGGAACTCAGCACTGGTGCCTGCAGCCACAGCCCCCTGCCCTCCCCACCCTCTGCATCCCACCCTGACGGTACCTTTTTCACAGAGAGGCCGTGAGCCCCCAGGGCCAGGAAGAGCACCAGGAGGAAGGGAGTTGCTTGCACCATCTCTGCAGCAGGCGGAGAGCAGATTGGGATGTCCTCCTTGCAGGTGTCTGCTGATGCTCCTGCTCCCTCTCCTTTTTATTGCTGCTAGGGCTGTGGGTGGCAGCTTTGGTGAGGGCATTGTGCAATCTGGGTGTTTCCAAATCTGTGGCTCCCTGCCATAGAACGAGGTAATTGCAAGCATTACCAGAAGTGAGTGCTGAAAATGTCCATCCTTGCTCTCCTGGCACCTTGCAGGGGGGCCCTGGCTCCTGCTGATCTGTGACTGCCGGGAAATGGTCAGTGGGGAAAATCCCCTCTCTTGGAGCTGGTGTACATTCTGTCACCCATCTGACACATCAGTTCTCTGCCCTGGTTTTGAGGATCCTTAACCCTGGTGGTTTCAGGATAGTCTGCAGAACACAGCTCACCCTGCTCTTCCTCACCCAGACATGCTCATACAAACCCACCCACCACCCAGATTCTTTTGGGACTCAGCTTTCACCACCCCACAACCCCACCCCCCTCCACCCAATGTTGATGGGTTTACAAAGGTCTGACGTGAATTTTAATCTGTTGTTTTTACAGACTGGTTTGTGTTGGAATGGACTTATTTAATTCATGAAAAGCAAACATTCATTGAATATCTGTGACATTGGATTTTAATAGTGACCAAAGCTGTATTTACACAGGGATTCTTAGACAACTCTAAGAACATATTTGCATAATTCCCCTTAGGTTATATTTGCTGGGCAGGGAGGCTGAATGGATTCAGCCCAGAGTTTCTCATCCATTTCTAAATGGTTTTCAAGGCAACCTCCTAAAATACATGTTTTAGTTCCCCCAGTCATAATAGCAAAAGCTGATGGAGCCTATTCACCAGAAAATAATACTTTTTGTAAACTGGAGACAAGGCAGCTCTTTGCAATGTCTCAAAAATAAACAATATTTATTTTAATTTTTCTCAGCCTTTGCTTTCTTTTAAATTTCACATTTGAGTCCTGGTTTCTCTCTGACAGTAAAATGCAGTGCTATCCAGGCTGGAGAGCATTGTATTTCTGCTGCTGGAATCTCCACACCCCGCTCTCCTCCCTGCAGGAGCCCTGCAGCTCTCTTGCATCCTACCTAGGAGAGGTCCCTGTTGAGAGAGCCAGGTGCTCGCTGGACATTCCTGCCCCTGTGTTTGCTGTCTCAGAAATCAATTGCATAACAAGGTGTGTTTTCCCACATAGCTGCTGTTTGCTCTGACTGTTTTTTGGCAAGAAGGTGCTGCCCAGAGCATTGCCAATGTTTGGGATAACAAGTAAGGTCAGTCTGGAACATTTGCAGAGGGCAGGAGGGGCAGACATTATCCCTTCTCCATCACCCCCTCTCCATCACCATAGTTCAGGGAGCTCCTGCCAGAATCCTGCAGATGAACAACACAAAGTCTTTGTGCTGCTGATGGCAGCCCACAGCTCAGTCACAGCTGTAGGTTTATTTTAGCATCACACAAACAACACTGTTTATTTGTTCACATAATCTTTATTTCCCCTGTACTTAACAATCCCTGCGGCTTATCTTGCAGGTTCAGGGTGGTCCATGAACTCAGCTCACTGCTCAAGCAGGCAGATTTCTCAGCTGGTCTCAGCTGAGCACCAAGGTGTCTCCATGGGGTTTGTGCCCTCCGGAGATCAGAGAGCAAAGTGGCTTGGAGCTGGCAATCATCACCACAACTAAATTCTGCAATGCCATGCCTGCGCCCTGGCACAGCAGGAAGCGGGGGCAACCAGCAGGCAGAGATGAAATCCAAAGCAGGACACACCAAAGAAGTTAAAAATCAGCAGGACTGCGGTTTAAAACCCATGAATCTTCAGGGTCTTGTGAAAAATAAGAGTTGGTGAATAATAGTAAGAAACAGTTAATGAACAATTTAATTTGCTGCTCAAACTGGGGTTTGAGTCAGCCTTGAAAAAAAATGGTGCAGGCAAAATGTCTGTAACTGGGGACTGTCCTCTCAGCCCTCAGCTACATCCATGCAGAATGCTGAGCTTATCAGATACAAGATTTATTGAGGTGATACAGCCCAAAGTGGAGGGGAAAGAGGAAATACCCCTTTATACAGCCCAATATATACCCCAACCTTTGGAAGACGTGTTGCCTGGGGTTAAGGAAGAGTGTTGATGTGTCAAAGCAATACCAGTCCTGCCAGAAGCTGTGCTGGCTTCAGTGCCTGCTCTTGTTCCTTGCCAGCTGGACTGGGACATCACTGCTGTTGTTGGAAGTTGCCAACAGAAGATGGATGGAGGTGGGAACCCTAGGTGTTCCTCACTGAATGTGCTGGCACCCCTGTCCCACCAACCTTGCCACGGTGACCCTAAGGGGCTGCATATCCATCCCTTTCCATTGTCTGTGGGCTTTGCCATGTGAGGATGACACAGCCTGCTCTGGGAGTGCTGCACCCAGGACAACCTGTCCTTCCTGGGTATTGTTATTTCTCTACCCATGTGGTTGCAGAAACACTCCCCTGGGCAGTGAAGAAAAGGCCATTTGTTACCCACCTGACAGCCCTGGGCCACCTCGGTGATTTCCTGCCTGCAGGAGCTCCCATGACAGACAAGTGGGGAAAGAATGTTCACAGCAAGTAGGATATGCTGCTTCCCAACCCAGCCCTAAAACCTGCTAGGGACTTAGGGCACACTAAGTTCTAAAGTGGACAGAAAGAGCTTATCGTCCTTCCTGTGCTGTGCTTAGGCCCCTCCTGCCCTTCACTGTGATGCCTTTGGAAATGCTGTACCCTGTGGTGTTCACAGGGCTCTGCTGCCCTCCCTGTGATGTCCTTCGTGCTCTTTTCCTGTCCAGCTCCATCTGAGATCAAGTGAGTTCACTGTCCCTGCCCTGCACAGATCCCCTGCACATCCCCAGGGAGGACAGGGCTCTCCTACCCCATGGATGTCCCTTGGCAGCAGGCTCAGCTCCCTCTGATATGAAAGGAGCAGGGCCCGGGCACCACGCACAGCCACCACCACCATGGGCACCCCAGGCTGCTGCTGCTGCTGCTGGCCCTGCTCGTGCCCCGTGGTGCTGCAGCCAGGCAGGTAAGGGCAGCTGTGGGCAGAGTCTGGCTGTGCTGGGCTGTGCTGGGCTGTCCTGGGCTCAGGGTGAGGGGCTGCACACCCTGGCTGTGCCATGCCATGCTGTCTAACAGGCTGTACGCTCTTGTTGTGCCTTGCAATGCCATCCAATACCATCCCACACCGTTCCAATGCCATCCCCTGGTGCAGTGTCCATGACCATGGGAATTCCCAGCTCTGTGGTGCTGTCTCTGTGGGTATTGTTGACCACCTACCCGTGGTACAGGGGAGTACCCAGCACTCCCAGCTCTGTCCTGCTCTGCCTGGGGAGGGAGAGATGCTGTCCCAGCTGGTGCTCATGCCACTGCTCCCTGGTGCCACAAAAAGTGGCCATGCTGGCCCCACACATGTAGGACTCATGTCCCACTGCATAGGCAGGTAGGAGCAGGGCTGTGACTCGGCACTGACCGAGGCATCCATCAAAACTCACATTTCCCAGAACTGCCTTTCTGGGAACACAACAGGAAGAGCAACAGACCTTCTTAATTCCCACCCCTCCCTAACCAGGCTGGTGCAGCCTTCAGATGCCACTTTGGCACAAAAAGGAGGAAAAGGAAGCCAGGTGCCCAGCCCTGAGCAGAAGGGCACAAGTTTGGTTAAGGGCCAGCCACAGGCACAGCTGCTCCCCACAGAGGCATTTCCTGGCTCCTGGCCTTACCATGCCTTTCAGGCAGCAGAGAAGAAAGCAAGGGTCAGGTCTTTCCTGCCATTACATCTGGGGAGGTGGGTGAAGATGCACATCCTGCTCCACAAGGGCCAGACACCCCTGGGACTTGTCCCCTCCCTGCCTCCCTAGCCCACCAGCCTAGTCCAGGAAGATAAAGGTGAATTTCGAGAGTTCCCTCTTCCAGTTTGGTCCTATGCCAAAAGAGACACTGAAGAAGAACAAGAGTAGACAGCTGGACAGCTTTATTAAGAACTGAAGTGATTTATCCCCTTAAATGTGCTCCACTGCCTGCCCCCGGCGCCAGCAGGGAGGGGGCCATGGTACCAGACCAGGACCTGCTTCTTGGGCTCAGATTGTCACTGTCCAGGGAGCCGGGTCTCCCCTGGGGATTGTATCTGCCACAGGCCCCCCTGGGGCAGAGCCAGTCAGTATGTGCAGTGTCACCCCAGGACAACTACAGCATCCACGTGCCTGAGTGCACCACTCCAATGTCCTCACACACACATTCACCCACAGCCTTTTTTTCCCTGCAGGACAGGTCCCCACCTCACCCAGCCCAATGACTGCAGGAGAGAGGTCTCCTGTGCCCCTGGACAAGGCACCAGCTGCAGTTTGGGCTGGCTGGGGAACCTGCAGGCTATCAGAGCCCTGAGTGTACAGAGGTGGGGGGCTTTGGGCTTGGTGCTCACGTGGACCCCACAGGCTCGGTCTAGAGCAGGAATCAATTTTGCACGAGGAAAGCAACACTGCTTGCTAGGTCAATTGACCCTAAATAGCACTTCAGGAAAATAACAGGAGGAAGTGCAAAAGCCTCTTTTCCCAAAAAGATTTTAAAAGATTCTGCTCAGTAGAGTGATGTTGAAATATGTTCCACCTTCCTCCTGGGGAGGCTGAGATCTCATCCTGCTAGTGCATCTCCAAAAACAGCTTCTCTCCCACAGTCCCTCGTTAAAGCCCACCCAGCTCTAGAAATTTTGCTCTGGGGACCTGGCCAACCAGACTACCCTCATCTAGTTTTTGGTTACCAATGTTTGTTCCTTAGGGTAAGGACTTTCTCCTTCACTGTGCTGTTCTCTCAGCCTCTGCACCACCTACAGCAAGCACCACAGTGCCTTCAGAAGATGGGACACTGGCCAAAGGTGGACAAAGGACTGTCCAGGATCAGCAAGGCTGAGGGTGTTTTTCTGCCAAAGCCAGTCTGACAACATCAGAATTTACATGCAGCTGCAAAGTCCATGTTGTGGATACTGTTTATTTGTGTAACTGCTGGGAATTTTGGGAAAAGAAAGTACAAGAAAAATTCAGCTTCAGGTCAAGGAAAAAACAAAACCAGCTTAGTCTGAGTGAGTTCCAAAGTACTTTAATCCTTTCAATCTTTTAACTGGGTGATGATGCAAAGTGAGCAGGAGAGAGAGAGAAGAAGCAGTCTGGGGATGAAGAGGTTGGGTTGAGGCAGACATGACCCCTGGTGGTTTTCTGTGTCTGATTGTAGATACCTGAAACTTTTCTCTCAAGGGAAAGTTAAATACTTCTGAAAGGTCAGTTGTGCTTGCTGATTAAGCACACATTTCATAAGATTATCAGGAAAACAGTAAAAAACCTCCCTCTGACTATGAAAAAAAAAAGAACAACCTAAGGTAAGAATTAAAAATATTTACCAGAATAGACAGAAATATCACACTGAGCAAGTTATTACCAAAAGAGAAAAAGAGAACAAAGAAACACAAAATGAAACCTTACAAACAAAAAGAAACCAAAAACAACCATCCAAGTCCTGAGCATGGCAACAACATGCCAGCCAAGAAAAAAGCAGCAGAGCAGAAGCACATTGAGATTAAAATCCTCTACACACAGCTGAAAATAAATATAGCATTTGTAACACCTACATTATTGAAAATAAAAATAGGAAATGTCACTGCAGAAGTCATGGAGTAACCAAAGCATCTACTTGCAAGAGAGACAAGAGGCAGGAAGCTCATCAGCACAGACCAGAGAGGTGCCAGACACTTGTTCTCGGTCTGGTGACACCAGAGTTGGTGGAAGCAGAGGCTGCCATGGCACTAGGCAGAACCTGGCCAGGAAAGGCTGTGAAGGCCAACCAGACAGCTTTGGCAGACTCAAAGCAAAAGCAGAAAATCCCTTCTCTCTATGCTCAAGCCAAGCATTCCCTGCAGACATTTTCCCCCAGTGTGGCTCTGGAGACAAGCCCAGGGGGTGCTCTGGGAATCCGTGAAGGGCCCTTCTCTGGAAGAAGCTTTGGGGCACACTTTCTTCAGGACTCCATCTCTTACATCACATTTCTGACTTGTTCACTGCTGCACTCTGCACCCAGCAAGGCCTCGTTAATGAGGCTACAGACAGGAGTGGTGGCAGCCAGGCAATGGATCAAAATACATGGAAAAAATCCATGAAATGGCATAGGAACAGAGGAGAGGAATTCACCACAGTCCCACCTCCCAGTCGGCTCAGAGCTCACCAGAGACAAAGGGAGAAGTGCCACCTTCAGCAGCAGGAGTGTGAGGCTGGGGAAAGGCAGCCCAGATTCTGGATGGCACCACATTTACTGTTTCCTCCCCAAAAGGGCATTACTGCAGGAGGGCTGGACCAGACCCTGCCTGGAGCCCCAGACACAGCCCCAGCCCCACACTGGGTTAAGCACAGGAGGGAATAACCAGGTGAAGCCACCTGAAGCTCCCCTCTGATTTCCCAACAGACACTGAAGTGGTTTGTCACCCTCCCACGGACAAAGCCACTCTCCCTTCACTCAGCCGAGGCCTTTGCCTGCCCCTGTCCAGCAGAAAGCTTTGCTGTGACAAATGCCCACGGGGTATAAATAAACCACTGCCCCTCTCTCTTTAAGGTCTTGCAGCACCAGCAGCTGCTCTGACCACCCCACCAGACATGAGGAGTCTGCAGCCAATTCTCCTCTTCCAGCTGAAGAAATGCAGCCTTTAGGGTCCTGAACAAGTCTTAGTCCCCTTACATATTCAAATAGGAGTTTTTAGTGCAGCAAATAACATGTGTAAAGTTGAAAATATTTTTTATTCTGTTCTTAAAGGAAAAGTGTTGGTGGGGTGTGATCAGCTGAACCCTGGCCTTTCCCACTATGAAACTGTAATAAATGGAATTGATTTGTGCTAACTAAATTGTAACTGTTATTAAAGTTATTATTAGAAGCAATCAAAAGAATCAGTGTTACAAGGCAGATGCACCCCTTTGCAGATGTTACATGTTAAAATTGAGGTACAGGATGTAGTTTGGAAGATAAGTGATGCCCCAAGATGAAAATGGCCTTGAGATGGACAAAATTAGAACGACTTTAGGCATGGGCCAAACAATCAGTAAATATCAGACTAATTAGTAGCCTTACATAACACAACACTTAGTAGGCACGCCCAAACCTGCAAGGTTATCCAAAGGACAAGGAGGAACAGGAGAAGCCTTTGCAAAAAGACCCCCAAAAGAAGACTGAAGACCCCCTAACAAAGAGTGAAGCATGCATCATGAAGAAAAGTGACGTAAAATCAGAAAAATTGGAACTAGGAGGAAATTTATGGGAAACATTAATGAATATGTACAAGCATACAGTATATAAGTTTAGCTTGAAGTGCTTTGTTTTGTACGTGAGGCAGGGTGGGAAGCCTCTGTAGCATGGTGGGTTTTGGACGTGAGGTGGGGTAAGAAACCCTCCCCGTACCCTGGTCGGTTTTGCTTATGATTTAATCATACTTAATTACTGGCAAATTATAGATATAAATCGTAAGATTTAAAATTACGTAAGATCGTAATTTTTTACTAAATTGTATTCTTTTACTGTGCTGTATTCTTTTATACCAAATTACTATTGAAATTACTAAATTGTATTAATTTCTAATTAAATTGTTATTAACTCAAGGGACCTAGCTATCAAAATTCGAATTTCATTTATAACAAAATTATTGCTAAGCAGTTTGCACCAAGGTCATTGAGGGGAGTGGGTGTCACTGCAGCAGGCTGGGCCGGTGGGACATCTGCCACAGGGCCCATCTCCTCCCCTACATGTGCTCTCTCCTCCACAGTTCACGGTGTGCCTGCGGTGCAAGGGGCAGACGATTTACCAGCAGGTCTTGTCCGTGGAGAGACCCAGCAGGCTGCAGGGCTGGAACTGGGGCTACTGCGGCCACTACGCCTTTTACCATGCGCTGTACCCCCGTGCCTGGCTGGTGTACGAGCTGCCGGGGCAGAAGGTGGTGTTGACTTGCCGGCAGCTCTCTCCGGTCATCCCCCATGACTATCAGGTGAGGCGGGGCCGGCTTTCCCAGCATTTCCCGGTGTCTGCGCTCAGCCGCGCTCCCAGGCGGGGGAAGCGGCGCAGCCGTGCGTGCGGGAGCTCGGCATTGCAGCAAGGGATGGCTCGGCGCTGCCACACTGCCCGTGCTGGCTGCCAGCCCCAGGCGAGGGTGGCAGCTGTGCTGCTGACACGTCTGACCTTCCTCTTACCCCGGCGCAGCACGTGAGCCTGTATCAACCTGCCGAGCAGATGAGT